TTTTTTTTTTGGCTGACTCTGGACAGTCCTATTTTGGGGGAACTCTAGATCTCTAAGCATTCTGAGTCCCACAATATTTCATGGGTGTGTCCCCTGGGTGCCATTCCCCCCTTGAAGAAAGTGCTTAGAATTGAAATTTCAAAACACATATTAGAATCCTAGTACAACTGAAGGAAGAAGAGTGAGCCAAGAACAATGGGCTGGACTTCTTGCAAACTTGGCAAATGGGAATTTGGAGCAGAGTTGATTTGGTTTAGAAAGATTGAGAAACTTTAAAAAAAAAACAACTTTGAATATTGAGCAATTTGTACCTTTTAGGTACATTTAAAAATGTTCAAATAGTTCACAAGGGCCTTTGAACACTGTTTTGATCTGTCACAGGCACACAAACAAGTAAGCTTTTCTCAGCTCACTTACTCTGGAATTAGAACCTGCAAACTCCAGTCTATTCTGGAGTTTTCTACTCTCACTCCATTTTCTTCTGTGGGAGTACCATTTGAATTCCATTGTCTAGACCCAGGAATGAGAGTGAAAATTTCTGTGGAATTCCACCACAAGTCCTACTGCTTTTGGACCCCACCTTGAAAACATTATTGTTCCCAATATCTATTCTCAACATCTTCCTCCAATTTTTAGTGGATACATGGCCATCTGGAATAAAATCTACATTTCCTGGAACACTTTGCAGTTAGGTGTGGCATGTGACCAGGTTCTAAACAATGAGATGTAGGAAGGCATGTGCGATGTACATATCTCCCTTTAAGGACTGGGAAGTGTCCTTAAAGGGAGAGGGTATATCCTCCCTCATCACCTCTTTCCTTCTGCTGTCTGGAAGGTGGATTTAATGGTCAGACCTTCAGTAGCCATTGTGGACCAAAATGGGACCTGGAGAATGTAAACCATGCATGACAGAGTCACTAGGTTGAAGGAGGCTGGATCTCTGAGACATAGAACCCCATATAAGCCCTGGACTGACTACTTTAAGACTTTTTGAATGTGAGAGAGAAAAACTATTCTTTTTTTTCCTCCTATTCCTTTCAGCCGAAGCTAATTTCAACTCATATAAGTAATATCTTCCAGAGAGTGCTGATTCTTCCAGAGCAAGCCAGTGGCAAGAACAAATTAAAGCCCAGAATTAGACTTGCATTAAGAAGCTACTTTCACCTCTACAACCTTGCAGAAGAGACTGGCCAGCCCTGCTTACCTGGATGGTGAAGATTACAGGCTCCAGATCTTCATAGGTGATCTTTATCTTTTCAAGTGCTCGCTTTGCCTGTACTTCTGTCTCTGCAACCACAGCACAGATGATCTGGCCCACACAAAGTACCTTTGGAAGGCAGGTAGAAAGCTCCGGGTAGGAATAGGCTTAGCTCAGCCTTACCAGTGACTGTATCTTAGGTGTCATAGTTGAACAATAATAATCACATTAGAGTCACATTCAACTACATGTCCTTAATTAAAATTTTTTTAATGAAAAAATAATTTAAATAATACAGACAGTTCCATTTGGCCATTTTATTCAGTGACTAGGAGCCCTAGAATGTGTGTGAGATTGGCTGTGACCTGTATCTACCATGTCCTCTGTTGAGCTTGGTTTATACACGTAACCTTAAAGGTGTCATTTTAGGGTTTAAAGATAAGCAAAAAAAAAAAAAATTTTTTTTTAACAATGTGGCTCCTGTTGTGGATTTAAAGTTATGTCCCTCCAAAATTTATATGTTTGAAGACTTAACCTCTAATGTGACTGTATTTGGAGACAGGACCTTTAAAGAGGCAATTAAGGTTAAATGAGGTCATAAAGGTAGTGGGCTAATCCAAAATGACTGATACTCTTATAAGAAGAGGGAGAGACACCAGGGATGCCCTTGCACAGAGAAAAGGCCATGTGAGGACACAGTGAGAATGTGGCCCTCTACAAGCCAGGAAAGGAGGCCTCAGGAGAAACCAAACCTGCCAACATCTTGATCTTGGACTCAGTCTCCAGAACTGTGAGACAATAAATTCCTATTGTTTAAGCCACCCAGTTTGTGGTGTTTTAATATGACAGCCTGAGCAGACTAACACAGCTCCTAAAATGACAGTCAACCTTTTCTTCTGGAGTTCAACCAAAGAAAAGTGATTAATTCCATGGCTGGAGGAGGAACAGTCTGTGTGGGATGCATTGAGATGTGAAAACAATAGCTAACACTTACTGAGAGCGTTCGCATGCCATGCACTGTCCTGAGCACTATACACGTATTGACTCATTGAAACCTCACAACCACACATTAAAGTGGGTGCTGTGATTATTCCCCTTTTACAGATGATGAAAACCAGGGGTACACAGCTAGTACATAGAATAGCTGGAACATGAACCTAGGCAGCTGGCTCGAAAATCAAGTGCTCAGTGAATGATTGTTGAACTTGAATTAAAAGGTCAAAGACAGAGCAACTTTATTAAAAATAAAGTAGGTGAAGGTAGGTGGAACATGAGGAAGAGGAGTTCAGTGTAAATAAGTGGAAGTGCTGTTATTTTTTGTCCTCTCCTTTCTAGATCTTTCTAGGATATTCTATCCTGATACAGATTGGTTCCTTGCATTTACTCTTC